ATACTTCTACAACTAGGAAGGTAGAAAAATCTCTACCATAATTCACTAAGTGACTTAAGGAATATGAAAATCAGGTCCTTATCTGTTTTTTTTTTTTAGAACATAGAACAAATTAGACTTGATTTATAAGGCTGAAACTTTCCAAAACATGTGAAAATTTGTTCTCAAAGATTTGCTGAATGACGATTTAATTATATTGTCACAAATAAAGGAATTAATATATTTGTAATATAGCACAGAAAGTAACAAAAAACAACAAAAAAGCTAAAAAAAATTTACTTGTTTATGGCACTACACAATGGTATGCAGACATCTGGATTTCTTCTCAACCTTTTAAAGATTCTTTTCTTTTTCTTTTTTTTTTTTTTGACCACTGGTTGGTATTGGGTTCTGAACCCTAAACATGTTTTACTTTCTACAGTTTAGTATTAAATATAAAATACCATCATTATTCTTTGAAAACTGATGATTTTTAAATAGTGCATATGTAAAATAACCTTAAAAAAATCTTTTTTTCTAGATGAATGAGTCTACAGATTGTTTTTTAAAGATGTATAACATTTACATAAAGTAGTCTTTAAGCTCCATCTAGTGGTTATAAGAAGGAGTATTCAAACTTGAAACAGCTTTTATCAACCTGGCATTTAGTGTATTTAAAATAGAGTATTTCCAAATGGTGGTAGTTTCCCTCTGCTAAAACTCATGCCTCTTGCCTTTACCGTCACAGAAAAAAGAAGTGAATAGAAAATGGAAGATGTGAAGCTTATATTTTCCATTTCTGTGACTGGTATTGCAATCATTTGTGATTTCCATATAGGCCTTTTCTACAGTGCTTTGGGCATAATTCATGGAAAGCTAAGAAGCTATTATCATAGGAATATTTCATAGTCTAGCTTTAATAAAACACAGACTTTCAATAAGAAATTTGGGTATAAGCACACATGGATCTGTTATGCAAATAAGTAATAATTTTCACCAATTAAGAGGTATCTAAATTTAGAAAAACAAAACAACAAAACAAAAACTACTCGTTCACATCCCTAATGAACTTCTCCATAGATTTGGTACTCAGCATTCAAGTTGTAAGGCTCTGTGTGAGCACTATGTTATTTTATCCAGCAATGAGCAAAAAAGTCTCTTCAGATATCCCTCCATGTTATGCCGCTATCGCCAGCAAGGTCAACAATGCTTTTGGCATACTTTAATGCCAACTTTAACGTTATAGTTTATCATAGTGAGGTGCAGCTCTCTACTTAGTTAAAAAGTCTGTTTAATTAAAAGATTGCCAATCTAACATTAGATTCTATGAGGAGACTTTTTGAATATTTTGGAAATAATTTTTATATACTTCTTCAGTTTACTTAGAAAGCATTTTTATTTTGAGTGAGATAGTAAATTACAAGATTATTTTTCTTTTTAAAAACTGCTATGGAAATTTAATAATTTGTTACAAAAAGTTTCAAACTTGAGAGTTTACTCTCATTAATGAATAAAATCTAGCTTACTATTCATAAACACATTTTATTTTTAAATGCTGTTGAAGTAGAATTCTCACACAACATTTAATTATAACCTTAGAGAATGAGGTAGTGTACAGTAAAGAACTTAACCTTACCCAAAGGCTTTGTCCTTGGTTTCTGGGGATGTGATCTCTAAGCCCTTGGAATGTCATGACTGATAGAAATGTCTTTGCTTGGGGGCCTTGGGCCAGCCAGAGAGTAACTCTGTGATTTAGGATGGAGGCTCTAAGTCACACCAACAATGTGATGAAGGGTGGGGGCTTTGGGTCATGTGGTATCAGGCAGTCTCTGGAGGGGTTAGAGAATGAGATTAGCCATAAGTACAATTAATCACGGCCATATGAGAGAGCCCCAATGAAAACTGTAGACACAAAGACTAAGGTGAGCTTCCCTGGTTGGTAATATTTTGTGCATATCATCACACAACTGTGTAATGCTCTCCTATCTCTATGTGGAAAGTACCACCGGAAGGTCCATGTTTGAACCTGAACTCTGTCCTGTGTATGTCTTCCCTTGGCTGATTTTAATCTGTAACCTTTACCTGTAATAAACCATAACCATGAGTAAACAGCTTTCAGTGAATTCTGTGAATCCTAGTGAATTATCAAACTGGAGGGTGGGTGCAACTGGTGTAAGGAGTGAAGGCAGTCTTGCTTGGCCTGTGCTCCTTCTCACTTAGTGTTTAGAGGTGGTGGGTAGTAGATGATGGAGCAGGTGAATGGAATTAGCTATGGTCTGAAAGCCTACTTAAAAGGAAACTTTCCCCGTAACAGGGATAATATAAAGAAGCTACAATTTAGGTTTTTCCCTATTTTGCACACAAACTTCCAAATTATTTACTTAGCAAATTACATCAGGAGAAATGTTTTAAAACTACAAATTCTCACCAAAGATTCCCTAAAAGACCCAAATAAAGTGACAGACTGTAGTCAGAAATGTCTTTTGCCAAAAAAGAAATGGTCTTCCATTTGGAACAGAATTAAATCACTGGGAAACAATATTTACAATTTTTCTTAATCCTAATACTGAAGAAAATTTTTATAAATGTTTCTTAAATGAATCTACAGTTTAAATGTACAAACTCTTATGCCTAAAATGAACCTGAGCACACATTTAAGCATTGAAAAAATTATTTTTAAATTGCTGAGAAATTTAAAGAATTCAAAAACATTAATAAAGAATTAGTTACTATATAAAGAAAATGGTATATATTCTTAAGTAATATAAAATCCAGCCTGAGGAAGTTTTTCCTCATGTGAGGTGGAAATGTTAACTTCATTTTGATTACTTTTACTTCTGACTGGTTAATCTAGCTTAATATATTACTAGAATATTAATTTTAGCATTCATTCTTAAATCTTCTAAATAATCAGTTCAAGTAGAAAATAATTTGCCAAACTTGCTTTTGAATTTTAATGCACTGAATTATCCTAAACAATAAAATGCTTAAGAATCTCACAACCAAATTGGAAGAATGAAAAATATACTCCTGTAATTTGTAGTATTTGTTAAAATATAATGAAAAAAATTATAATTTCAAATCTTCCATATATTTAATCTTTGACCTGACTGCGAAAATGCTGACAGTCAAGGGTCCTTGTCTTACCTTACACACAGGCATAGATTTCATTTTAAGAGGTACTGAAATAGAGATCATAAATTACAATACACCTGATTAGGCAAACAAACAGGAAAATCTTCAACTGGTGGTATTAAACCCTGAGCGATCAATTGTCCATAAGAGGGAGGGGCTTCTCTTCTTAACAATTCTGCTTCCACTCTTGACAACTGTTTCAAAAGACCTTCGAGAACAGACGGGGGCAAAAAATAGTTTAAAAAGGGGGCAAGGCAAAACAATAATTTTCAACTCGTAGTAATTAAACCAATCTGAATATGAATATAGTTGATCATTTTTAAAGGTTAGTTATTCAACCAACATTTACTGAATATATGTGGGGATAACCCTGCACTGGGAATACAAAGACAAATCAGTCTGCCTGTCTTCATGGGGCTTTACACTAGAAGAACCCTATAGATCACTAAGTTTTAATAAATTGGAAATCCCTTTAAAAGTTAAAGAAAGAAATAAAAATACTAGATATTTAATCCCCAAAGAATATGCGGTTGGGCGGGGGCAGACTTTAGGTGACAATATTTGAAAGTTCTCAGAAGATGCTTTATTCATTACATCCAAGGCATTTATTTTTCAGATAAGAACGTGAAATGAATCACCAAAACTTTTTAGGATAGCTGGTTCTTGAACTCAGGACCTCTGACTCTTCATTGTGCTCTTTTGTTGCAATGTGATAAGTTTTCTGGCCATTTATACTTGCTCAAAGAAAAGATGCAGCAATTATTACAATATTGTGCATCTGTGTGTCATCTACTATCTTAGATGTCTGGTAGGTAAAGTTCTTTGTTAAATGTATTGTTTGTAACTAACCTGGGAGTGAAGGTCATTGTCTCCACAACAGCCTTCTGGGGACCTCTCTGACATTAACTTCCCCCAGATCTACGTTATCCTGCACCATGCAGAAAACTACTGTCTCAAAGTCATTCTTTAATAGTTAACTGTGTCTTAATGAACTAAGAACTCTGAAGTGTGGCTCTTACTGAAGTCTACAGCATGACATTAGCCTTGTGCTCCAGTCTTATCTCCTATTAGTCCTTCATAAGTGTCTTTGGCTCCTGATAAGTTGAGCGTGTGCTCACTCTAAGCACTGCTGGGCGTTCCTACTTCTATTTTCCTTTTCCTTTTTCTTTTTTTTTAAACTACAACACCTTTTTCCTATCTACATTCTACTCATATATTTCATTGGCACCTCACCAATTAAAGCCTTTCCACATCCTCCCATTGGATAAGGTACTTTTGACTTTTATACCAGTTAGTCTTACAGTTCTTAACGAACTTATACTCCTGTCTTCTTACTCCATGCACCAATTCTTTCCTCATAACTGTAAACTGCTTGTGATATTATTCATTTTTCTATTCACCTGTATAGTGCTTTGGTCACAGTTCTCAAATATCTGGAATTGTTGAATTAATATGAAGGCACTTCAAAAAGTTCATGAAAAGATTCATATTATCTTTTTTTTGAAATATTATCTTTTAATTCTATTTTCCATAAACTTTTTGAAGTATTCTTGTATTTATAAAAACAGTAAAAAAAAAAAAACAACAACTGAAAGTTGCAGCTTACAAAATTCTGATAAAACAGATTAATCTGAGAATGGGAGTTGGTAAATATAAATTGGCCTTTCTCACATCATAACTAAGCATTTATTAGTTTGTAAAGTGTTTAGCCTTTTGAGTCTTGGGCTTTTCACACTAATCTCATAAATCATAAACAATATTTATCCATTTATAAACTAATACAAAGTAAAAATACATTGCTAGTCATTAAAGTAGTTGTTTAAAATATTTGGGCCATGCTTTTACTGTAGAGAGCATGACCAGTATTGTTTTGTTTTGACACTGACCTTCGTTCAAACATTCTCAGAGAATAAAGCTTACAAGTACATCCCAGTGCAATGACGAGTAACAAGCCACAAATAAGGCTCCCTATGACGGCTGCAGTTATGACTCTGGTAGGCACAATTCCTGGGCAGTTCTCCTCATCGCTCCCATCACCACAGTCATCTTGAGAATCACATACCCAGCTTTCAAACACACAACGATTATTTTTACAATGAAAATTTCCTGGCTGGCAAAATAAGCAGTTTTTTTCATCTGATCCATTTGGGCAATGATTCTGATAGTAGCAGTGATCAGAACGAGGATAACACACACCATTTCGGGAACATGGAAATTCTTCCTTTTGGCACATGGTACAATTGATTTCATCCCTTCCATTTGGGCAATGCCAATATCCATCACAACGCTGCTGCTCAGTATAAAACCTCCAGTTACCTCCGCAGGTTATTTCCCATGGCAAACAGAAGCCATCTAGCTGGTAAGTAGCATTAAATCCCCTTGCAGCGTTCACTTTATCGGCACAAAAATGTACCCTTATCTGTCCAGAAGAAGAAACAACTGTAGAGGTACATGGGAATCAAAAGCAGTTGTTAACACATGCAAAAGCTTGTGTGGATTTTCCTCTAATCCATCATATATTTTGACATAGTCACTATAACCAGTACCATCAAGTTTAAAGTCAGTGAAGCTCAAAATGACTTTATGATATCACCAGTGTCTATTAACCAAGAGCAATTGCTTCCAGGCAGATAAAAGTCTGGATAATTGGGAGAATTGAAAGTACCATAAAAATATTTTAACCATTGCCCACAAGTTGGCACATCACAGTCTATCTCATCTCCTAGGTCAAGGCAGTCAATGTTCACATCACATTTTAAGGATTCAGGGAGGCAAGCGTAAACTTTGGTAAAACGGGATAGACACTGGAACTGGTTCTAAGCACAGGGCTGAAAAGCAGCAGCTGTTGGAGGATTCGCTTCTTTGGCACAGATCTCTTCATCGGAACTATCTCCACACTCATCCATGTTATTGCATTTCCAGGCTTCTGGTATACACTTTCCATTACCACAACGAACTGATCACAAGCACAGTTTGGTTCCTCAAATTTCCTTGGGAGGATGCGGGTAGGAGAGAGACGGAGAGGGAAGCAGAAAAAACATACTCCTCAAAAGATATATAACAGCAAGTGGTATTTTCATAATAAACGATTAGGCCCAAGTGATAGGGGTTAAAAAAATCTTATTTAAAAAAATGGGTTAAGTTCTAATGACAAAGTAGTACTGGCACATCAATTATTCAATAATTCAATTTATCGAATGCTGATTACTTGTTCCATAAAAATCTTTGTATTTTGATCTAAAAGGAGAAGGGAACAATTCTGTTTTTGCAGACAGCTATTTTACTGCAGAACATTTAATAAAATGATGTCAGATACACAAGCCAATAAGACATATTGCCTCAGAATTTTAAATAACTTCTTTCATAAACACAATTAAAACAATGACAGACTTTTTTTAATGAAGAAAAATTTATCCACAACAATCACCTGTTCAAATAATTTTTTCATATTGTTCTGTAGTTCTTGTCTCTCTATATATGTATGTATACATAAATATATATACACACACAAACACACACTATTTTGCTATATACATGATAGTGTATTTTGCAAGCCCATTATTTAGACTCAAACTTTTGCCAAGACTATCATAAGATCAACTTTATAGTGTTTATAATGTTTCATGTAATCAGAAAACAGTATTTCCAATTTATAATTTCTATTGTTTTAACATGACTGCAAAATACTACATGAATCTGAGCTAAAGGTATAAATTTATTCATCAAAATAAAAGGAAGGGGAGAAAAAAATTGAGGTGCTTACAGAATTCTGATTACCTTTGAATACCATACTAAATATATAACAATAATGAGATAGGGAAAGGCAACCAAACAACATTAGATTCCTGCAGCACCCAAATTGACAATTTTGGGCCAGTACTTACTTTTCACCAACAACTTATTTATTGGTAAATAGGTGACTTATTTGTCGGTTAATAGCTAAATAAATATTACAACAGCTGTGTTTTTAAGAAAAAAGATAAAAAGTAGCATATGTTTGCTAAAGGAGACTATGTAATCTCAAAAGATGCAAAATAATTTTTAGCAAA